GGTAATATTTAAGAAAGCTTAACGTTACATTACGTAATAAATTTTCTAAAGTAAGGTCGATACAATATTGTTGACAAATTTTGCAACATTACATGTTTAGTGGGTAGTTACTTTACTTTAATGAGTTACTCAAAGTAACGCGTTACTATGAAAATAACGCGTTTATATGGAAGTAGCGCGTTACTAGTTACTATGAAAGTAACGCCTTCTCTCAATTTGTTTGTCTTCTTTACAAATAATTGACGATTGAGGAAAAGGAAAATAAGTAATTCAAAAACTTTGTATGTCAAATAAAATGTGGGTAGTATAGAAAATTTGTTTTGAAAGCTCAAAATAATCGTTTTTGAGCCTGGCACGCGCCGCCTTTGCTCTAAAGACACTATATGCAGACACTGGGACGCTTCAAAAAGCAGGTTTGTCCAAAACCAAGTTCTCTATTTAGTCACTTAATCCTTAATCCGTTTGAATTTTGCAACAAAACTCTTCCACATAGTCGGACTCACAAACTAAAAACATATTGGCATTTCGTATAGGTCTCATTTGATTGTTTGGACTGCTGTGTTGGTGAGTCAAATTAAGGAATGACGCAATTTTCAACGTAAATAGTTATTTTTGAAGTAACGCTTTACCTTAATAGTAACGCTTTATTTAAAAGTAGCGCTTTATTTCAAGCTAACGCGTTGAGGTAACGAGTTACTTTCAAATAACGAGTTACTTTTAAGTAACGAACTACTTCTGAAGTAGAGAAGTTACTATCAAAGTAAAGAAGTTACAGTAACGTGTTACTTTCCAATAAGTAACGAAAATAAAGTTATCATTATTCGAAAGTAACTGTAGATTTTAAGTAACGAGTTATTTTTAAGCAAAAGTAACTGTAAAGTAACGCGTTACTTTTTTCAAGTAACGATCCCAGCTCTGGTTGGGACCCCCTGAACTGTTAGATTTCAGTGATTTCCTCATTGTAGTACTGTACATGAAAAAACTGTTTATACCTATTATGTTTAAAACATGATTTTCAACATGAATTCCAATAAATTATGGGCCCAGTAGTGTTTTTTTGTTTCGGTTTTCGAAATATTCTTTCTGGAAGGTATAAACAGTTCTCCCCAACTATTAAGTGTCAGTTTCGAGTTGTTTTCACGATGTCTCTGGATCGCAAAAACTATGACGACAGCAAAAAAAATAAGTCTGTAAACTCTAGAAAGAAAATATTATCATGCTATATCTGTAAATAGCCAGGACACTTCATGAACAAATGTCCTAACAAGCACTTTGTCGATAACCGAACAGTCACCAATACTCCATTCTGGTTCGGATACTGCAGATAACAAGGTGCCAAAAGGATTTAGTGTGAATGACAAGTTTAATAATCCTCATTTATAATTTGACACTCTGGTCATAGTAAACATCTTACGGTTAGGCGAGATTCGTTGGAAAATATCTGTTAGGATTTTCACCCTAAGGAAATTAGGGTAGCAAACAGAACCAAGATTCCTGTAATGTGTTCTGGAGACATAAACATATCATCCAACATCAGTGATGGCCAGAAGCAGAATATTGTTATCAAAAATGCATTGTTTGTTTCTGAGGTTACAACAAACCTTTTATCAGTAAACCAACCCATTAGAAATGGTAACAATGTAATCTTTTATAGTGATTATTGTAAGATTTTGAACCAGAATGGAGTATTGGTGGCTGGAGTTGATTGTGTGCAAAATGGAGCAGTTTTAGGACTGCAAAGTGCAGCAGTTTTAGGACTAAATTGTAGTAGCAAGTATGCAAAGTATGCTGTGAGGGCAAACAGTATCGACTACCTTTTGAAAGTAGTGCAAACAGAGCAACATCAATTTTAGAAGTAATACATGTAGATCTTTGTGAACCTTTTGAGGTAAACTCTATTGGTGGGTCAAGGTACTTCATGTTTGAAGATGATTTTAGCAGGATGGCTATGGAATACTTCAAAGAATTTAAGCACTTTGTTGAGAATTGTATTAACAGAAAAATTGAAACTTTTAGATCAGATGGAGGTGGTAAGTTCTGCAGTCGAGTTTTTGAGACGTTTCTTAAAAAATTTGGCATTTTACATCGAACGATAAATCCACATTCACCGGAGCAGAATGGGATGCTTGAGAGACTGAACTGGACTATGTGGTTGAAAAAGTAAGATGTTTGCTATTTAGAGTTAGAAAAGAAATTCTAGGCAGAAGCGTCTCATACGGCTGTTCAATTGCGCAATAAAAGTGTTGTTTTGTTAAGGGGTTAAATAACAAAACACCTTTTGAAATGTGGATAGACAAAAGACCAGATGACAGTCACATTTGCATTTCTGGAAGCGAAGTTATGGTGCATATCCCCAAGGCAAATAGAAGGAAGTTAGACAAGAAATCAAAGAAGATGTTTCTAGTAGGTTTTTCTACCAATGTTAAAGGTTACAGGCTCTATGATCCTAAAAACAAGAAAGTATTGACCAGTAGAGATGTCATTATTATAGAAAAAGACAGCAGAACTATATCTCTTTCTTTATCAAGTCCTCAATCTGAATTTCCTGTGAAAGTGCCTGATTCAGTGGGTCATGGAATGTCACACAATTGAAAAGCAATGTCTGACGAAATCGAATCTTTCAGTGAGAATGAAGCTTGTGATCTTGTTGATCCTCCTTAGGATGCCTCATCGATAGTGCAGTGTAAGTGGATTTTCAAGAAAGATAGTCAGAATCGTGTGAGTTATAGAGCTCATCTAGTAGCAAGGGGTTTTACCCAGCAGGCTGGAATTGATTATGGCGGAACTTTTTCACCTGTAATAAGGTTTAAGTTTAAGATTATTGTTGGCTCTGTCACTAAAACTTAATCTTGAAATTACACACCTTCATGTGAAAACAGCCTTTCTGAATGGTTTGTTAGAAGAAAACTTTTTATCTCTGTTGACCAAGAATCTGAAGTATGTCGATTAAAAAGAGCTGTCTATGGTTTAACAGTCATCTAGGGTATGGAACCAAAGAGTAGATGAAGTTTTAACCAGGCTAGAATTTAAGAAATCTGATTCTAAACCTTATCTTTATATTCAAAGGAAAAATAACTCTATAATCATATGTTGCATTATATGTAGACGATTTTGTGGTTTTTCCATCTGATCAGAGTTCTAGCGATAGTTTAAAAAATCATTTAAGTGCTGAATTCAAAATCAAAAACTTTGGTCAAGTCAAACAGTTTCTTGGCATGAGAATTCGAAGAGATGGCGACTCTTTACCTAGATCAGGGACGTTATATTTATACGCTTCAATATGACAGAATGCAAAAGAAAAGTGTCAATACCCCTATGGAAAACTTTGATTACAAGACAAGTATTTCAAGTCCTAAAAATGAGAATTCTTTGTATCAAAAATTAATAGGAAGTTTAATGTATTTTTCCTACGACTGCCTCTGAAAATGGAGTTTTTCGCACGCTAGGCAACCTCTGAAATTAGAGTTTTTCGCACAGCGTGCGAAAAAGTTTTTCACACGCTTCAAGTTTTCTAACAAATGAAAATTACATATTTGGTTGTTTTATTTTGCAGTTGTAGGAAAAGCATTGTAAAAAACTCGTTTGAAAACCTTTTTTCACACTTGCTCGACTTGTGGAACTCGCCTACGGCTCGGTCCAACAAACTGTCTCACCGTGCGAAAAAAGTCGTTTTCAAAACTTGTTGTTTAAATAACTATAGTGGTATTGACACGCCCTGATATTCCATTTAGTGTAAGTTTTCTCAAGCCAACTCAATGATAATTCTGTGTGTATCATTGAAACTGTGCAAAACGAATTCTTAGATATTTGCAAGGTAGGTACTTGTTATGAGATTTAGTAATGCAAATGAGAATTCAGATTTGCAATGTTTCGTTGATGCTGATTGGGGCTCAAGTAAAAAGGATAGAAAATCCTATACTGGTTTTGTTTTTAAGCTCTCAAGGAACTGTGGTATCATGGTTAGAGTGTTAAACAAAAGTCTGTGATACTCAAGCACGGAGGCAGAGTAACTACATTGCTCTTAGTGAAGCCGCAAAGGACGCAATATACTTGAAAAATGTATATTCCGAGTTAAATGGTGAATTGAATTGTATAACACTTGGCAATGACAACCAGAGTGCTCAAAAACTATAATTAATCCTATGTTTCATGAACGTTCCAAATATGTGGATATCAGGTATCATATTTGTCTACCAATGAAATGATTCCATGGAATTTTAGTAGGATTGCGTGGGATTTCAGTAGGCTTCCGTAGAATTCCAGTAGGATTTCGTGGGATTCTGGAGTACCTACATAATTTTTCAAGGTGGTTTACCCCTTGGTAATGTCAATAAGTTATTGATCCTCAAGATTGTACCTTGCAGAATTGCAGACCAAATTCAAAAGTACCTATCTCTTCAAACTTTCATAGTCTACAGGGGAAAAAAAAAAGATTTTCCGTAAATCATTTAAAAATAAAATGCATTAAAACCATGTGCCTCAAAGTAATATATCACGGAAACTCGCTTTATATTGAATTTATTGTAAAATAATTATTGCAGATGGTGTCTCAAGTGCCACGTGGTAAATTTTCCTTTTTATTCGTCATCCAAGAAATCTCTTCTATCCAGTAAAGCCCAATTTAATAGAAATTCACTAGCGTGCGAATAATAAATTTTTCATAAAACCTGACCGTGAATACATTAAGGTATTTTTTTATGTCTTCATCTTAGCTTATTTTAAATTTTGCATAATCTCAGTTTACGAACGAATAAATAATAAGAAATTACTTTGCTTGGAAGAGGCATGGCACGTTTTTACGATAAAAATAGATTCAACTAAGAAATTTATTCATGAGAATAAATTTACGTATGTTGTTCCAATTTGTACTAGGCCTGAAGAAACATTAAAAACACAATGTACATTTTCAGAGGAAATAAAAAATCCACATATTTATGGCATAAAACTATGAGGAATTTCCCAGGGTCACAAAGCAAATTGTTTATATATTCCCTTTGCAGGCCGTGAAGACGACAGTGATACGGAATCCGAGCCAGGAATTCCTTTAAAACGCAAACACCGACGTCCCAGAACGACATTTTCCGGGGAGCAGCTGGAAACTCTGGAACAGGCTTTCGCTCGTACACAATACCCGGACGTTTATACGAGAGAGGAATTGGCAAAGCAGAGTGGCTTAACCGAAGCGAAAATACAAGTAATTTATATCGCAGAGAAATATTGGATTTTGAAGATGTTCGTTTTTTAGGTTTGGTTTTCCAATAGACGGGCTCGTTTAAGGAAAAGCTCTGGAAGTGCAGTTGCAAGTAGTTTGGGATTTCCTTCGTTACCTTTGGCAAATATGACTTGTCAGTATCCTACAGAAGCTCAATATGACTGGAGGAATTCGCAATTAGCCAATTATAATATGTTTCAGGTAAATTTTTTAATCAATTTAAGTTGAAATTCATTACCGCATTAATGATATAATGAACTCGTTACACGAACTTGGTTTTCTAAGCTCCTTCAGATGCGTTTAATACATAATTACTTTATTTTTTAGCAATCTCAAAGTTCCTATACTCCGAACGATTATCCACGACCAGATTACTCGGCGAATTTCGCTAATTACGCTCTAGCCCACGCTCAAATCTCTCAAGCTCATGCCAATAATTTGAGCAGGTTGAAAGAGCACGCCAAGGAGCCAACGAGTACTCACACGAGTCAACATGGAGCCAATAACGAGCACCAGTGGACGAAACACGAAGAGTGGAGCAATAATTTGTCGTCCAACGATAGCGGGTATCCTGGGGAGGCTGCTTTCACTCAACAGAGTCAGTTTTTGGGAGGCGGAAGCAAAAACTATTGGGCTTAGGTTAATAATTGGAGTTTTGTGGTTTGATTGTATAGGATTTAGGTTAAATTTTGTAAAATTTTTTGGTAGTTTTATTTTTACCTAACTTATGAGAGGCTGTAGGAGCTAAGCTGAAGAGCCAAATGAATGTGTTACGTAGGAAGGAAAAAACAGCCTAATTCCGTCGGGTTTTTAATAGATCTACTCACTCGTGATTTGATGTTGGTTGGTTGTTATTGTTGCATATTTTTACATATTATTCAACTTAATCCCTTAAACCGCTAGTTCCACTTCCGAATTAAAATCTCTATATTTGAGCCATTCAGCCAAAGAAAATTGCCTTTCTTCGTCATTCTCCAGAGTTTTGATTTTTGACACAGAATCCCATTCTCGTGGAAAGACAAATTTTTGTAGAATAAGATCTTTAAAAAAAATTCAGCTTTCCATCTATGATACAATTGGAGATATGATGAAGGTTAATCAGTGTTTTAATTGTTCTAATGTAAGAATGTAGAGACACCAGCTCTATTTTTTCATTTTGGTCTTGATATTGATCTGGTTGCTGCTTTTGACGTCTTCTGCTGATTAATTTTGTTGCTTGCCATCCTGCTATCACCATTATGATGATTACTATAGTTGTAATGCTGCTGATGGCTGCGGAGTGATGATGAATGCTGCGGCACACTGTATTATGAAGTTTATCTTCGAGGTCCTCCTCTTCTCTTACTAGTTCTCCAAAACCATCGATTTTTCCAAACACAGGCTCGGTGCCTAAATGTGAAGGTGTGTGTTTGTGGAGTGAAGGGTACCATTGAAAATTAAGAGTACAGCTTTCACATAGCTGCCTAAAACTGGAACTGTTATGCTTCTTTTGGGAGTTAGAATATTCTGTTTTGTCTAGAAGGCGCAGTTTTGGGAAATCTGAATTATTCCTGTAGTATTTATTGCTAAGTCTTCCCGCTCTCCGTTCCATATGACCGATAATCTTGTAGAGGAAGCTGCGATGAACATCCGTGCATTCGTTGTGCATAGCCGTTCCCAGAGGATGCCCTGTAGACTGTGTTGTTGTATGTGGCAATTCCTAGGTTGTGGCCGTTCATACATTTCGTCAATGACGCAGGACGAATAAGATTGAATGTTTCGGAAACTGGAGAACAGCTAAGCTGGTCCGTATGCACTGTTGGAAAACGTTTCCATGGAGCTGAAAAAAAGTTTGACTGTTCGGAAAGGTCCAAAGCCCAGTATATTTCATTTTCAATTCTCAGTGGAACGGGCGTTGCTTTCACTAGGGTGGATTCCGTCACGTCAATAATTGGAAAATATCCACACACCTTGATGTGCGTGTTGTTGGTGATTAATCTTGTGGACAATGCTGCCAAAACGATTTCCAGGTTGTTTGGCAGTTTTTGATTGGATTTTTGAATGACGACGTTGATATACTTATGCTTGGTCATATATTGTACCTCTGTTGAAGTCAATGTTCAGCAATTTATCGTTTTGCTGATGAAGTTGGTGGCTATTTGGTGTACACTCAATAGGTGAATGTTAAGTGCATTGGTGTTTATTGGTTTGTACCACTTTTGCATGCCGTTGATAGCTTCTATTCCTTCGTTGAGTCGTTTCTGGAATTTTTGTAGTTTGTTCGTGATTCTGGTATCGGCTTCGTTGAATTTTGTGAGGGCCGAAATCATAAACTTTGTTTGGTAGTTGGATGCTCTGATGAGTTGTTGATTGCATCGATATCTTGATATTCTTCGTCGTTAACTTCAAAAACCGCAGTCAAAAATTTTCCAAACAGTCCTTCCTTGGTTCTGTGGTAAATGTCGTCCATGGTCGCGAATATCCATTTAGATTTAGATTGATTACCCAGTTCTTCTAAATGCTGTACGAGAGATGTGCATTTGACGTCATCGTTGAGCTTCTTTGGATTGGTTGCACATATTTCTGAACTGGCTGACTACGGTGAACACCTTTAATAAGACGGTTTGGGTTTTGTTCTTCGGATATATGACCTCTATCAATTCTTGCTGATTCAAGGTGTTCAAGGTAGAATCCATGTTGCGGATAGTTGATTTCAAATCCTTTTTCTGCAGTGGCGGTTGTAATTGTCATCATTATGGCTGCTAGGAAGAACAATAAATATGATTTTGTTGATGTTCCGGAGACGATCTAATTTTGGATGGTTGGTAAATGGTGTGGGTCTTCTGTCGGTAGAGGAATTAACTTGTGAATCGGTCTTTTTTGTGTGGAACCACCTGCTCCCTTTATTGTTACCATGCGGGCTGCTCTATCTTGTCCCTGATAAGTTTCTACTATTCTCTCCAGAGGCCACTGGTTGGGGTTTATATTTTTTTGTTTGATTAGAACCATTATTCCTACTCGTATATTGTTAGTCTGAGTCTTCCATCTCTATCTTTGCTGTAGTCTGGTGAAGTATTCTGTGCACCATGCGCTCCAAATGTTTTTCTTAAATTTTTGCACGTGTCTCCATCGTTGAGATAGGTTAAAATGTTCTGTCGACCTCAAGCGTGGTAGTGCTAGCAGTTCTCTTCCTATAAGAAAGTGTCCTGGGGTCAAGATGTTGAAATCATCTATGTCTTTTGTTAGCGGGCAGAGTGGTATTGAGTTTAGACATGCTTTGATTTAAAACACTAGGGTCGTTACTTCTTCATAGGTCAGAGTGCAGTCTCCAATAACTCTCTTGAGATGCTGCTTCATAAATTTCACACCTGCCTCCCATATTCCTCCAAAATGTGGAGCTATGAGATGAAGTGCACAGGTTGACGATTTTATCAATCGTATCAATTCTGTGATTTCATCTTCGAATGTGGTTCCTCTATCGCAGTAGATATTTGCACAATGTCCTCTTCTGGTAGTAAATCTTCGCAGTGCTGCTAAGAATATCTCTGTTGTCACGTCACTGACTACTTGGAGGTGAATTGCTTTGGTTGCTAGACATACAAATACTGCGCTGTACCCTCTGCCTTTTGTTGCTACTTGAATGGGTCTAGCGTAGTCCACTCCCAAGTTTGTGAATGGTGGTGCTGGAGTAACTCTCAATTTCGAAAGTTGTCCCATGATTTGCTGTACGGTCTCTGCTTTGTGACGGATACACCCTTTTAACCCTAGTGAAGGTATCTGATTTTTGCTGTCTACAATAAAAAAGGGAGATTTTTTAGCAATTTCGAATCGCCAATTTGGATCACCATAAGACACAAGTTTCATATTTGACTTTTTAACTTCTGTATCAGGGTGAACCTTCTGGAAAGTATTAAGTCGAATAACACTAACCTCTGCTCCGGTATCTAACTCTAAATTTACTTTCGTACTTGCAATATTGACCTCTTTGGTCCACATTACCTCATCATTCACCTGGAATCCTTCAACATGTTCTACCACAGAGCTCACAAAAAACTCTTCTTCAGACTCAGTGCTTCCACTAGAGCTCTGTTCACTTTCCTCTTTTTTCATTGTGTGAACTCGCCTTTTTTTATATTTCTCATTCGTTAATTTCTCTCACTTATGTAAATGTAAAGTGGTTTTGTGCGCGTCTCTGACTACCAATGTAGATATATGTGAGTGATATATGGGAGAATCAAAGGGTGTTCGGGTCTCCCGCCGTCTCAGACTATGCCTTTGCTGTCGAGAAAAGAGTTGAGGGTGTGTAGCTTGCTTTTTTTGTCAATTGGGAGTCTGCTGTTCTAAAGACATATTCTTCCGGAAATTCTTGTTGTTGCAGCATTTTAATCATATAGTAGGACTTTCTCCTCTTTTGATGAATCCACGGCAGTAGGATAGTACCCTGAGCATCTTTCTAAAGTTTAAAAAGCGTTCCCATATAAGTATCACTATTTATTATAACTTCAATTTGGTGGCATGTAGTTGGAGGTTTCCCCAATGTGGACCTCCCTACCACAGATCTGCTGATTCTAACTTGTCTGGATCCAATGCTCTGGATATGATGTCTGCTTGGTTTTCTTGGGACCTGACGTGGTTCCAGGATACTTGACGAGCATTTCTGTGTATTTCGCAAACTCTATTTGCTACGAAGGTTTTTCATCTCCAAGCAAGAGTGATCATGGAGTCGAAGGTCTGGATGTCTACCATTTGAAGAGCAGTCTCAATCAATCAATTTTGATAGCAGGACTGCTGCACATAGTTCCGAGCGAGGTAGGGTTGTTCTGTTCTTCGCTGGAGCGACTTTTGATTTTGCTTGCAGGAGCATAACAATTCAGTAGATGAACTAGGGGGGTTCCACAGCGGAAGTGACGTCACACTCGTTCTGGGGCCCGCGCTCGTCATCAGAGAAGCCCTAAATTGAAGGGGCCTAAACCAGGTGGGCCTGTGCCCCATTTCGGGGCCCCATTTTTTTCGTGGGCCCCATTTTTTAGCAAGCCCCAATTTGAAGAGGCGTAACCTAAGTAGAGGGCCCCAATTTGAAGAGGCCTAACCCAAAGTGACGTCAGCAAAGGGGCCCCATTTTTTTCGTGAGCCCCATTTCTTGGCAAGTCCCAATTTGAAGAGGCCTAACCCAAGTGACGTCAGCAAAGGGGCCACATGCGTATCTCCACTGCAAGACCCGTGGCCCCATTTTTTCGGGGGCCCCATTTACATGAACTCATAACCTGAAATGAGATACCCCATACGAGATGACAGGTACGTGCGACGTTGTCGAAACTAATAATGTGCGACGTTGCCAATAAAATTTCCCTAAATCTAGGGAAAAATCGGAAAGGGGGCTACTTGCCTCCGCTGCTAGATTCGCGGCCCCATTATCCGTATATGGAATCAATATAACCTAGAACTCATAACCTGAAATTTGATACCCCATATCTCATCCTAGTAACCTGAAATTTGTACCACGTACCTAGAACTTGAAACCTGAAATTTGGTATCCCATAACTCGTGACTTGTAATAAGATACATCGTACTGGGCCCCCCAATTTTCCGTGGCCCCATTTTTCTATATTAAAATCTGGCCACGATCAGACAATAATTTATGTCTCGTTACCTACCAATTATTCCAATGCGACATCATCATTCGAAATTTGGTTTCACGCCACCGCCGCCGCCGAGACCCAAACCATAGAAATGCGGGGGGCCCCAATTTGAGCCCCATTTCTTGGCAATCCACAAATATTATTTTTAAATAATTATAATTTCTACCGCTGATAACAAGCTCTGCGAACTTGCTTAATTTATTCGAAATCCCGTTATCTCACTAACAGAAACCGCAGCATTTCCTGACGATAATAATACATGTTGTTATTCATCTAGCGTCTTTTTCTGTTATTCGACTGTAGATCACTGCACCGTAGGCCTTTTGGAGTTCAATTTTCGTTCTTCTCAGATGTATCCACCTAGGAATTTTGATATTTTCTACTTATTTTATTTTGCTCTGAAACTGTATCCATCGTGAAGATATTTCTTGATCTACAGGTTAATCCCAGCTCAGGTTTCTCACCCATAAGTTTTGAATGATGAGTTTGGCGGATCTGCCTGTATATTTTTTCTATGTCTGCAATCTCGTGCTTTCTCCAACGAAGAAGTATGTCGGCGATGTTTTGTTGTAGTCTGGGAGCTGACGTGCATGATGTCATTAGGGCTGATGCTGGTAAAGTTTTTGCACGATTTTTCGAAAACGACCCTCAGTCGTGTTGTTGTGCTAGCTTCTCTGATGACTGCTTGATGGAGGATGTAATATCTTCATTGGTTCACTTCATGTCGAATGACTTTCCTCATGTGACCCAAATCTAGGTATTCTTTCATGAATGCTGAATATTGTTCTTGTAAACTGGGATCTTGATGTAACTTTCTTTCGATTTTCGTGAATCTTGCGGCGGCTCTTCGTTTAGAGTGACCTAATACATCTGTTGACTGTTTGGATGGGATTCTAACTATGAATCTACCCTCGGAATCTCGTGTTGTGGTTTTCTCGTAAATCTCTTCGCATGCTTGCATTTCTTCAATTAGCTGGTGCGCTTGGGCTATTTTTTCAATTTCTCAGAACTTGGTTAGATGTCTGTCTTCTTCATAGTGAGTGATCATACTGACAATTTGAATAGCGGGGGATCCGGATGTTATTGCATGCCGTTCAAAATGATACTGGCATATTCCTTGGCGCCTAATATCCCATTTATCGCACCTGGTGTCATGAATGTTGGATCGGCTAGCACTTCATTCTTACAACTGTCTATACTGTTTATGTGTAGGTGTCATCTATGGAGAATGCGCTCATAAATCGCGGTTTGATTTGTACTTCAATGGACTATTTAGAGACTTTTGGTTCGCCGTCACTAATTCCTGAGATGTATGCTCTTATATTGTGTTGTGGCAATCCCAGTCGATTTGCAGCTTCTTCGGTAATAATGGATATTTGTGACCCTGGGTCAATAAGAATCCAGAGGACTTGAAGGGAACTTGATGTGCTTACTTCTACTAGTGCTGTAGCGAGCAAGCAGGGTTTGGCTTGCGTTCTGATCCTGGGATAATTTCTAGTAACTGGAATTTCCTTTCCAAGAACTTCATGAATTTTGTCAATTCTGGAACATCGTGAGGCTTCTCAAGATTTAACTCATATATGAGTTTGGATTGGAATATGTGATGTTGTGGTTGACTCACTAGTATTTGTTGAATTGGAATGACAACATTCTGCCGCTAACTCTTTAATGACATCATCAAATTGGCTCTGGACTTCTTTTTACAAGTCTTGGGTGAAGTACTTATTATCTTGATGGCTATATTCACATACGGCGATTTCTTCGTGCAGGTTTTGGATTGCATCCCATTGTTTCTTGCTTGATTCCATCAAATGTTTATACCGGAATTCTGATTCTCTTGGATGCTGATGGCGGAGGGTTCACATTGGGTTGGTGTTGGTATGGCCTTTGAGCGTGTTAGTAATTAGGTCTTCAATCCGTCGAATTTGGTATACGAGTGTTGGGCATATTACTTGGTGAAATATTGCTGTTCGCTGTGTCCTTTTATTTTTATCATCGCAGCCTTGTTTTTCTTGATTGTTTGAAGTATTGCATCCAGATTAGTCAAGTGTTTTTGGACGTAGGCCTCGTTTTTCCTATCTACTGAGTCTTTATTGCAGTTACTCAGTAGCAGTTGCAATCCAGATTTTTCTTGTTCTCGTGCGAGACGGTCATGTTTTTCTTCTTCTGCCATGACAGTATTTGATAGGTGACTGAATTGATTTGATGTCTATTTTTCTGCACGGACGTACAGTGGTATATTTCTTCTGGACTAGCTGTATGGACGGACTTTGAGGGCGGACGGTGAGTCTTTTGGAATGGCCGTATATGGAGAGACTGATAGACGTTGTGGACCGATGGCGAGTCTCCTGGACTGGCTGTATGAAAGGATGTTGTGGACTAACGGTGAGTCTTCTGGACTGAGCCTAAGATCCATTCGTGGTTTGTTGTGTTTGATGAAAAGACCCTACTCAATACTCAATAAATCCTGAAAAGTTGAAGTTCCTCCGATTGCTGAAATTATTTTTCAGAAGCTTCCAAAGGTGATTTGATAGAAATTTTGTATGACTTTCTTGCATCTAAGTGAGAGAAAATTCATAATTCCATTTCTGAGCCTGAAATCCATTCGCGCTTTGTTCTGTCTTATAAAAAGACCCCACTAAAAAATCCTGAAAGTTTCAAGTCCCTCTGATAGTTTGAAGTATGTATGTATGTAGTTAGTATGTAATTTTTTTTTTTTCTTGTGTATGGTACCCTCTTTAACAAAGTTCAATTTTATGATGTGATTTCAAGATAATTCAAAAAAAATATACATTTTTGTAAAATAGAAAAATCAGGCTCTCTGTCGATGACAAAATATTTTCTACAGGGTGTTCCATTGAAAATAGGGCAGTGGGCAGTAATCTTATTTCAAAAACTCGTATGTCTGTGAAACCAAATTTCAGCAAATTTTAAGATTTGGCAATACTATGAAGAGAAACCTAAAGAATTCCCATTCTCCCAGAACAAAGCGTATCTCGTTTCCGACATATTCACCTGCAAAATGTGTCAGTTCACCTAAGAACACCCTGTATATATTCAACGATAAAATAGGTAATTTCCACTTTGGATATTCTTGGACTTTCTAAAATAAAACAACATAATTCGTTTTTAGTTATTGTTACATTTTTATTGTCAATAAATATACATTTAGAATTATTTTATTCTGATAAAGTTAAACATTTACTTAAATATACACCTAAGACAATTATTGTCGTGGAAACAAAAATTATCATTATTGTCATAGTAACTACAATTATTATAAAGTCAAACATTGAAACTCAATAAGAGCCTGCAAAAAACTTATTATTTATATTGTCGCACACAGCGTGTATATTGTCTTCTATATTTTAATACTTATACATTCCAGCCCCTGTATTAAGTTCGAAAAATGATTGATACCTTATTCAAATATTGTTCTAGAAAATTGTATATCTATAATAAGGATAAACTTCTCAGCTACTACATACATGGATCGATATTAGTTTTATTCAACTGGCCCTAATAATATTTTTTTAATCTAATCATATGTATCCGAAGATATTCTTGATTAATAAAATATATTACGATATGAATAGTGCAAGATATGAATGAATTTTCGATATAATATCCAATTACAAATACCGATCAAGGAAAAGAGAATTACAATATTGTCTGGAATTTGTTTTGCATTTAAAAAATATTACATAAGGGTCATTCTAGGATGTCTAAATACCTTTTTAATAAAATTATTGTTATCCGCTGCTGGCTTTAGTAGGTATCGGTTATAGTTTAATGGTACCGACGTGATTTTGGTATAGCTGTAGTTTTTGGTTTTCCCATTTGAGGAATCCTCCCTAGAACATAAAAATTTGTTAATTTTAGCAATTATTTTTGATGATAAAGTTATTGTATGTAGTTGGAAATTAAGCAGATTATTCTACTCTAGACTGACACTTAATTTTAATGTCTTCCACGGGTGCTTTCGGTTATTTGTCGGTGAAATTCTGCAATTCTTTGCGTCGGCGTTTTCGCTATTATTCTAGATTTGTAGGCACTTAGGAATGAGGATTAGCGAAATTAATTTGAAGCTGTGATTTTAGAGACAATGAAATTCGGTAATCTTCTCCTTCATTTCAGCACGGGTTTTTCATTAGGGCTATCCCCAAACTCCAAAATGAAAGATTGAAAATATCATTCTTGTCATGATTGTTTAGGCGGTGATTTGACTAAGAATGCAAAGTATTTCATAAATTCTACCTACTCTAAATCTACTCCGATCTACTACTCTACTCCAGTCACTACTCTAAAACACTACTCTACTATCCATTCCATAGACATCGAACACCAAAAACCTTTTTTACTTTCGCCACTTGCAAATGTCGTCGTTACTGTCGGCTTTTAAAAACGATCGTCCGGATCGATTGAATCGTCGTACGGATCGATAGGCGGGCAACCAACCGAGGCGGGCCAAGGCGGCCACGTGACGTTTGTCCGGTAACGATGTCAGACTGGTGATACCTCGGGTTGTCGGTCGGAACCAACCGGTTTTCGCTACAGATCCTAAACAACAAAAAAACCCTGGAAATAGTGGATATTGAATTGAGTCTATCGTGCAACTTTTTCGTTTCAAAAAAGGAGAAAATCCATATTGATGCGGACAATTCTATTGCCTCGTGCACACATATTGAATATTAGTTTGCTCGAAGTAATTACGTTCCATTTGTTATTCTCTACGTGCAAGCAATAATAAATGTGTGTCGTATATTGACAAATTATTTTCAAACGTATAGAATTTTTCATTAATTGATGGCGTATGAATTTCCCAGAAAATAAACCTTGTAGGCGGTAGATGTTTCCACTTGATTTAATATTTATCGAGGCTATCGCCCAACGCGCGATTCGGGTCTTTATGTAAATTGTGCACCGCCATCCAATTTTATCTGTTTTCAATTCGGAGGGATCTTTTTGGTCGGAAGGCATTAATGTTTTATAAAAAGTATATGATTTGGGGGTTGTTATATATTTAGAAACTTTTAAAATGTCCTGTATTTTATATCTTGGTACCTTTATTATTTGTCAACCTTGATAGTTTGTCAATGTTAGTTATATGCTCTGTATAGTAATATTCTGAGTTCATTAAAGCCTGTATTTTAGAGGTTTTCTTTCACTTCCATTCAATAAACTCAAAACTGAATGGATAAATTACTCAAACCAGAAAGATTGGATATATACATCACCTCCAGCTAAAGTGGAAGAAGATAAAGATAAACTTATTCTGCTAATCAATTACGTTAGTCCTACTATTTTTGAATATATAAATGAAGGCGTAATTTATGAAGATGCGATTAATATTTTGAAAAACATATACCTATGTCAAGCCAAAGAATTAGATATTTGCTAGACACTTATTATCGTCAAGAAAACAACAGGTTGGTGAGTAAATATTTACAAGTCCTGAAGCTCATGAGCCAATACTGCAATTTTAAAGCAGTCAATGCAGATCAAAATAGGGACAATTACATCAGAGATACTTTCATAACTGGTCTTACTTCGCCTCATATAAGACAGAGGCTTTTGGAACATTGTACTTTGAGCTTAACACAAGCATTTGATACTGCTAGAGCACTTGAAATGGCTCAGCAATATTCCGAATCTTATCTTACACCTCTCTGTTCATATATGAATGCTGCGATCTCTCATCAAACTCCTGACAATTCTTCTTCGAATGTTGGTATTTTATTTATATTTTTTTCTTGATTCTTTACTTTGCTGGTATTTGGTGAGTTAAGACTCACTCTGAAGCTGTGAGGCTTATTTATCAATTTTTGTTGAAACAGGAGAACCTATTATATCGAGTTAATTGGGCACTTTTGCATTTTATTTATTAATTTAAATTCCTTCATGTACCTATAACCCTAAGTTTCTAAAAAAACCAAAGAATTAGGTAAGTTATCAAATTTTGGTCTAATAATAATTTTAAAATATTTATTTTGAATATTTTTCTTTTCAAAATCATTAATTTGTAATTCCATAGTATTTAAATTAATGTTGGCGCCCTCTTTTATTTTTTTCTAAATTGCCATCCTGTACTAAATAGAACCCCCCAAGCTAATTTCCTATTAGTTCCATAAAACTCACTTAGCTTCACATTTATCTTATTTGTGTGTGTTCAGGGATCTCAAATTTTCTTTGGGATCAGTATTTCGTTACATAAAAATGGCGCCCAACGTGAGGCGCCATTTTTGTTACAGATCGAAAATGACCATGCTATAGCAGCTGTTGCTTCTAAATGCTATTTTTGTGGTAGATCTCGACATGCCAGAGATAAATGTACAGCGAAAATTTTTATTGGTTACAACTGCGGAAAGAAAGGTCATTTTACCTACATCTGTCAATCGAAATATCAAAAGCCCCATTCTACTAAGATAACAACTGCTGCTCTTTTGATGGGGATATCTGGAATTACTTCTCCTGTCAGTTTATCGAAAGCCCTAATCGAAATGCAAAATTAATGGATTTATGGTCAAGACACTGGTCGACACAGGAAGTTCGGATAGTTATATTTCCGGTACAGTTGTAAAAGAAAAACTTATTAAAATTTTTTGTTTTAACTCTTTGGTACGTGGATTTTACAAAGTGATATAAAGATATATCAGAAAATAGCAAAAATGCTTGGCGACACGAATATATATCAACCTGCTAACCGAGACCCCACCTGAACTATCAGTTGCAATGCCCACAATAAAAAGAAGAAAGAAAATCAGCACAACCTAACTCATAACCTATCAAATTTATTTTTTGTGTGTTTTCCTGCTTTCTATTTATTTAATTTTATTTATTTTTGTTACACACAAACAGGACAGATCACAGATGCAAAATTTCATCTATGATAAATCTCACAGCTTGTTTCTCTAACCAGAACCTGTCCTTGAATAATTCTTTATCATGTGGGGCTCGAGGGTGTGCAACATTATTTCATTATTGAATAATCTTCATGGTCGGTAATATCTTACCACACAAGATCCATTTTTAATTAAACATACATACAAAATATCAACTTTAAAAAAAATATACATATTTAAAAGCCAAGATGATCCCCATCAAAAAACAAATAAAACAAGTAGAATGAGGTTAGAAAAACCCAAAAAAGAGTTGAACTCCTCTTGTACGCTGAAATTCGGACGTTCAAGATCAACCTCAGTTCACAGTCTGAACCGACCATGTACAACGAGTTTTTTCCTTTGAACCACTAGTCAATATGAACTTTGGTTGAACGTCGACAGTAGTCTAGCAGGTTGGTCCTTTTTATTTTTAGAAATTTTTGCTCTATATTTTTTGGATTCTCCCTCATAGATTTTTCAATATATTTTGCTAATCAATGCATATTATCATATCATTGTTAAGTTTTTACCCGATAAATCTTGTCTTATCTGTTCTTGAAATATAAATATTATATTTTAATTTTTTTTTTAATCTGATTGTGTGCTTCCATTTTGTGCGATTGGTAGTGCCACGTTTATCTGAGGTAAGTCAATTCAGATTTTTGTACTAATATATAGGTACTGCTGCTCTGGTTTTCAAAATCAATTGTTAGTGTGGGAATATTGGACCATTTGCTCTAAATAGAGTCGGTGAAAACCAAATTTGTGTGTCCATCTCTATCAACTCTTTATTGAATCCAGGCAGAGGCCTGAATAGCCATTTTCTGTTTGATTCCGTCAATTATTATCTTGAATAAAGGGGGTAATTTTTTTAAATAGAAATCCAGACAGGTCAAAAATTCGGTTAAAAAGTTTTAATTAAAACATCTCAAGAATTTTCCACACAGACAACATGGAGAAAATAAAGAAACTATTATTGACCAACAATTACCCATTAAATTTCATCAATAGAAACATATTATCTATTCACGATCTGTAGTCCAAAGGTACAGGTAAAATTTATTACCTTTCACTGCTTTTTGATAGGGAAAGGTGATAAATTTACCTGTACAATTGCAGCATAGATTGTGAATAGGATATAAGTAGGTTTAAAGCAAAAAACAATCACAGAAAGAACCAATTGAGCAAATACTTCAAGTTTCCCGGCATTTTCCAAAAAATAGGAAGATGCTTTAATAAAAAAGAAGCTCAAAACTGCTTCGTAAACCCTATTACATTTTGTTATTATCATGTTTTTAATGTCATCATTTCCGTAGCAGCTCCTAAAAGTTTCCATTAAATACACTTTATAGACAAAAAAAATAAGCTCTAATATTTCCAAAGTAGCAAACTTCCTCTCAAGAATACTTAAGAAAGCAGACATTGAAAAAGTTGCTTTTATCGATTATAATATAAAATGAGCTTTAAGCTTTCCATTTTACACGTGCATATTGGACACGTGTGTGTGGTTTGATTGAACTGAGACAAGTTCAACCATATTATCGCTTCTCGAACAAAGCTTTCCCAACATACACATCTCGGCTTTCAGCATCAAAGACAAAATACGGGCGGCTGCAATATGATTCTATTGAAATTTCGTTGATTGAATTGGAAATTCGGAATGGGAAATTAATTGGATTTCTGATGCATGATTTATATGATAAAATCTGTTAGACCCACAAATGTCATCTTGGATATAGTTAAGAGTAGTAGTAGAACATAAAAGAATATTGAGAAGTAGGAATGATCTTCCACGAAAACCAATCAACCACTTAGAACTTCTCGCGACGCTCAAGACTACCAGAGATAATTTTAGAGGCCACTCTCAGGATTCGTAACTCAAAAAGTCATACAAATTGTCGTAGTAAACTCATAATTTTGTTAAACAAGTCACGTACCACAAACAATAAGCAAAACTCAAACACAATTCTTACCCAAGAAACGTTTGTCTTCGACCGGATAAGCAGCGTCTTGTGTCGTCGCCGCTAAATCTTGCAAAATGTCTTCGTAATCCACTGGCATTTGATAAATCAATTCGTTCTCGAAATAATCGGCTTCGCGCTTGTTCCTTTGCTGAGCTTTCACGGATTGAATGCTACGCTTGTCGTCGGGTGCTTCCGCATTATCTTTCAACAAGCAAACAATTAATTTAATACATTTTTACAGGTTACAGCTCTTACCGACTGATCGTTTGCCTAAAGCTCCATCTCTGGCTAAAGATTGGATGTTTCTTTTGCCATAGGCGTAAGGTAAAATTCCGTTTTTAGCCAAACTGCCAACGAAACGTTTACCAAAACCTGCAGTTGCTCCTACAGGGAAGTTCTGATCGAAATTTCCAAGAGTACGTTTGTAATCAAACGTATCTGGAAGCATGCGATAACTCAGATGACGTAATTCGCCGTTTCTGGCCAAAGCCTCTATACCTGGAAATTTCCATTTAATAACGCATTTATCCACAACATTTTCATAAATTGCCCATTTTAGATCAAATATTTACCGATAACGATATTCATGCAAAATCTATTGAATCGTAAATTCAATTTGCAGATATTGAATTTTCATTTAAATGAATAATTTACATGAAAATTGAGTCGCAATAAAATTTTAATTAACAAACGTACCTCGCTTTTGATTGTCCATCATCGAGGGCTGATTGGTTTTGGCCACGTCATCAATGCTCCGCTTATAGTTCAAATCTCCATTGTGATCCAGCTCCGGAGGAATTTTGTACCAAGTTCCGGCACGTGCCAGAGACTCCAGATTTCGTTTACTTTCGCCCGGCAAGTTATTCCAGGCGGCCAACGAAGCCAAATTTCTAAAGTGGGAAAATTGTTTGCATAATTCGTATAGATACGATGGGCACTTTAAATTTCTAGATTGAAAGTGTATTTATACAATTTGTAGGTACACGATAGGCATTTTTGATGTAATGCTTATCAGTAGTCGGTTACTTTGTGTATATCGGTTGCTTAATGAAAATTTTTTTAGGATTGAGTGGGAAATTTCAAAATTTGTTTCAAAACAAAATCGAAAGTAGATCCGACTATTGTGAATAAAGGAAATACAGGGGAAGAGACGGCTAGGGACTCCTAAGAACCCACTTTTCTGGCTCAAAGATAGTTGATCAGACTTGGCTTTAAACACCTTTGCCCCATATAAGTCAACAGGGACAGATGGGATCTATCCCATAATGTTACAGAACGGAACTGAACTTGCAAACAGGATACTATGTAATATTCTAAGAAGTAGCCTAGCCTTTGGCTATATATCAAAGGCTTGGAGGCGCATTAGGGTATCGTTCATACCAAAACCTCGAAAAATAGGATAAGACACGACGATGACCCTAAGACCCATTAGTCTTACATCATTTGAGCTTAAGACACTGGAAAAACTTGTAGATAGGCACATTAGTGATGGTGTTTTGGCAAACAGTCCACTATTCCCAATATGCGTATCGGACAGGTATGTCAACAAAAACAGCGCTTCACCAGCTGCTTAGTGGAGTAGTAGAATACTGACAAACAAAAAGGTGATGCTGCGTTCCTTCCTGGATATAGAGAGAGCCTTTGACAACACTTCCTTCGATTCAATAACGATCTCACAAACACAAAGGAGTTGAGAACATCTGGAGTGCGTTTAGAAATTGAGTGTGAAGGTAGAGTAGTTGTTTGTCAGAGTGTTTTGATGTCATCACTGAGAGTGCACTCTGGGTGCGATATTTCTGAACGTATTGGGGCGTTGCGGGTTTGGCTGTAGTCCGAATATAACCAGGATTGTGGTTTCGCGGTCCGAAAGTAATCAAATTACTCTGGTTTCTGAAGAAGTGGTGAGTTTTGGCCCGGTTTCCTGAAATCTGGTAATCAAATGTCCAAATAGTTACCGGCCATCAGATTTCTGTTAATTATTATTTATTTCATTTTTGCCTTCCCCAAGTAACCGGAATTTTCAGTAATTATCTGTCAGCCTATTCGGTTACTTTGGTTATATTCGGACCATAGCCAAATCACCAGTTGTGACGTATAGCAAATTATTTCTCGCCTTATGGCCGTTTGCACCCAAGGAGAATACATATTTTAATTGCGATTTCCACTTCTCAATCAGTGCGCACTGAGTGTATTCACATCTTTTTCTAAAAGAATTGTGACATAGAAATAATTTTTTTTTGGAAATCGGCATAAGGAATGCTTATCAGCCTCCTTTTCGGTAATCGCCGCCCAAGGTTCCTAAAGTTAATAGGTTGCCTGGAAATGGCCAATGGGTAACTAATGACGCATCTGGGGTGCCTTATGGAGATTTGCATTACAACAAATGTCTGTATGTTCGAGGTGGATTCATGATATTACCTTGCATTTTTTGGAACTTACACCTCAATTGAACTTATTACCAGATGTTGAAGTACCCCAGCTGACGTCATAAAGCTACCAGGCAACCTACCTCTCTCAAACAACCTTGATCACCTCCATATTGGTGTGCCACCATTGACGACGTCATAACTAAGTCATAACCAATGAACTATAATCAAAAACTGGATTGCGCATACATATTGACGGACGTGAAGCCTAGTGCCGCTGCTGCGGAGGGGATACCTGTTTTTGTCGCACTCATTATGTTACATGGCGGAAATTGCTTCCAACACGTATTCCAATTGATGAAACCTGTGAAGGTAAATATGACAAAACCAATGAACTATAACCAAAAACTGGAATACGAACACATATTGACGAACGTGAAGCCTAGTGCCGCTGCTGCGGATGGGATACCTGTTTTTGTCGCACTCATTATGTTAAATGGCGGAAATTGCTTCCAACACTTATTCCAATTATTGATGAAACCTGTGAAGGTAAATATGACAAAACTTTCCAAAACGTCATATGTCAGCGAGCAACAGAAAAAAACAACGTTCCCCTTTGTGGCATCTGTCTTTCATGGCTTCATTTTTTTGGCAGATATGGCAATGTGTGCGCATTCCAGTTTTTGGCTATAGTTCATTGGTCATAACTAAGTCGTCAGCTGTTTAATGGACGTTTCCACCAACCATTTTAGGGGAGCCTTAACGCCTACATCAAAACGAGAAATGACATGCTGCCTACGTCACAACTGGTATTTTGGCATGTGTTACATTACACACAGGCCTTATGAGGATAGGCCATCTTGTAGTGTGTATCAGTTATCACGTCGGAAATGGTGAAACACCATTATGGCGGCGATCACCAAAAAACGAGGCCGATAAGCAATCCTGTAGGTGTGTATCATCCTTGAAGTGTTTGCACCACAGGGTATGATTTCGCGGGCTTTTGCTTTATGCATACTTGGTTCTACTACATTAAGTAACATTCCAAAACAACTCTTTTTTTAGAACTTGTTCGCATCTTCCTCTTTGCTTCCTCTTGTTAATGCAAATTGAATATTATTTTTCATAATATATTTAATGTCTAAACCACGACCGCTGTCGCAAACAGCTTAATAACGTTACCTGACGACTTAGTTAATGACGTCGACAATGGTGCTACAACACGCTGCCACGTCATTACTGCTACTTTGGCGAGGTGGGGGTAATGACATTTCACTAATGAACCGGCCGGCGATATTTTCGAACATTGTTTGCTTGTAGCCAACATAAGTAAGAGAGATCTGAGAATGTCATGAATCACGTCAAACCCGGTAAAAACCGCGGGGCGTTGAGATACGGTTTGTTAGGGCAGTGCGCGACGCAAAACTCACATTCTGTCAAATGCCACGCACGTCTGCTAAAATCAACCGAATGTAAATTATATAAACTGGTTTGTTGGGTTTGCGCAGGCGAGCGCGACGTACAGCGTCAGCAGTGTGTCAACCTCGTACCAAACTTGAGTCAGTCTATGCTTGAGTCTGCTGAAGTTTACGTTTTGAGTTGTGCGTCGCGTACGATCTTAACAAACCGTACCTTTAATCAACTCAGTTCCTGAGTGGGGCAATTTGGGCGCACTCTGGGCACGTCAACTCTCGATTTCTGAACGATTCCAGCGTAACGCTCTGAGTAACACCTGCTAATTTATGAACGGTTTAGAGTAACTAAAGGGTCACTCTCACACCCAGAGTGCTATTTCTAAACGCAACCCTGCTGTGTGTGGATCAACTCCATACAAGAGAAAGAGTGGTTGAAGCCACTATCTCAGAGGAGATACTGGCGGCCAGAGTGTACAGGGGATGCCCACAGAGCGTTGTATTATCCCCACTCCTGTGGAATCTAGAGGCGGACGGCCTGCACTGACGGAGGACACTGTACCCTCGGATATGCTGATGACATAGTCGTCATCTCACTCAACTCTAATAAGGGAGCAAAGCAAGACTTTTTAGACCGAACAACAAAATGGGTGGATAGAGAAGGGCTGAACATTAGTCTCAACAAATCCACCATCGTGGCATTTACCCGAAGGCATAAAATACAAGACCACTTTTCACCCTTTAGAATAAGGGGTGAAAAATTACAAAATTCGAACGAGGTCAAGTGCTTCGGGTAACACTGGAATTAAAACTTACCTGGAATCAACATCTGGAAAACACCACCAAAAAAGCGGTAACATCACTCATGATAGGCAGACGCTTGCATGGAAAATTATGGGGCTTAAAACCGGATATGCTGTATTGAACATAGAACATGATCGTCAAACCTACCTAGACAAACGCCTCCCTGGTGTGGTGGCCTAAGACACTGCAGGGAAGTGCCATACGCTAACTTAACAACGTGCAAAGACTGGCTTGCTCAGAAATAATGAGGTCAATGCAATCCCCACCAACAGCAGCCATGGAGACCCTCCTAGACCTACCACCTCTGCACATAGTGATACAGGGGGAGCCAAGGATGGGAGCGTACAGACTGCAGCCGACAACTGCCTCCAAGAAATGGATGGGACACATGGCAATCCTAGAGCTCATGGGGGGAGAGATGACATACCGAAGACCAAAAAACAAGACCAGACCTGGTACACAGACGGGTCAAAGACCACGTCTGGTACCGGAGCAGGGGTATACTCCACCAACTATAGCAATCACTATGCACTGGGAAAACATGCCTCTGTGGAAGACATGCCTCTGTTTTTCAAGCATAGGTATACGCTATACTCCAATGCGCAACGAAGAACAACAGGAGAGCCACAGCCAACAGGCAGATCCTTGTAATGTCGGATAGTCAAGCGGCATTGAAGACCCTGTCGAACCAGACAGTGTCATTAAGACTAGTATGGGAATGCCAAGAAGAGCTCAGAGCCCTGGCGGACCAGAATAAGGTGAAACTTATCTGGGTGCCAGGACACAGAGGAATCAAAGATGATGATGAACTCGCAAAGAGAGGGTCACCAACCAAAAAGTATAACCAGAAGCCTCATCAGACTGGATTCGTAAAGAACATCGGCGACACTGGACAACTTCCAGGCAGAATCATGGTAGGGAATTAATCGACCAACCATGCAGCAAAAGGGCCGCAGAACTGCTACAAATGAGCAGGGGCCTACCGAGAACCATAACGGGACTCTTGACTGGCCACACACCAGTAAAGGTCCACCTGAACAGGATAAACCTGTACGACGGAAACCTTAATTGCAGACTCAGCAAGGAACCCGAGACAGCAAGACACATCCTGGTGAACTGCGAGGCACTGGGTCACAAATGTAAAACCGGAAACAATAATCAAATACAACCCAATAAATGACCTGTACAACAAGGCACAAAAATACTACAGTGGTTGGAACAAACCACACAGGCTAAGTACATGCTGCATGCATGGGGACGATAAGTCAGACAGGCCTGGAACAAGGAAAAAAAAATTGTAAATGCGCAGGAGTTAAAACTCCAATTTTCCTCGAATTATTCCATTAAAAGCCCAAACAAACTTTTTATATTGATTCAAACTCATCATCAACTCCATTGAAAGAAGCCTGGCAAAATCTTTTTCAATCAAAAAAATATTTTTCATATTCAAATCCTTCTTCTGCCTGAGACTAAAATTATATGTAAACAACGGCTGAAAGCTTTTTTAAAAAACCCAATATTAAAAGAGTAATGCAAACCTTTTATAATTCCTATCGTCTTCCAATTCGGCCAAATCCAAATCCTCTTTGAGTTTCCTCAAAAGCTGTCTGCGTAACGCTTGCACGTGGATCGAATCGTTTGCTTCCGGATTCAATAAGGTGCGTAAAGTTTCTGATATTTCTATATCACAGGAACTATCTGAATTGACCTGGAACACACAAGAAAAAAAATGTGCTATAGACAAAATGGTTTCTTTAAAAAAGGCTATAGAGAAACGTCCAAACGCAAAGGATTTAGATGTAAAAGATGACTGAGGACAGAAAGACGACATCTGGACGTAAGGAGTGAGCCTTAATTTATTTTCTCGATGCAAAGAGGATTACGTTTTCTGGAACAGTAATTCCGAGGAACGAAAATGGCCTCGAGGATTTTTTTTCATACAGTGTCTACACGAATTGATTCTACAAGAGGTATAATGGAAGCAAAAATAATTAATAATCCTTACATAAAACTTCACTTTTGTGTTGAGAGTTACTGTATACCTACTCTTTTCGAAACCATATATCAAATATGTGTGTGTGTCGCCTCACCTTGCGAAGTTTTCAATTTAATTCAATACACTCCTACGCTAGGCACCAAATTCTACAGATTGGAAATAGTAAAGTTGGATATTAATTAGCTAGTTCATTTGTAAATTTCCAGCAAAAAGTGAAACCAAATCCGGCAATTAATATTATGGTTCGCTTTAATTAAAACTTTTGCTGTAGCTATAACGATATTTTAGAAACAACATCAGCTTGGAGTTTGTAATATAAAGCGATTGTGAAGTTTTAGCATTAATAAAACATTTGGTATGCTTTTGCCGATTTGAAACATTGTCAAAGCTTTGGGGATTTCAATTTATTAAATTCTCGAGAAAAAGAAGCCCTTTTAACATACGAGAAATGTCCATGTCAGGTCTTTAGGAGACGTAATTTTGTAATTCCTTTTAGATTAAAACATTCTCGAGGGGATGAATTATTAAAGTTTTTTAGGTCAAATTGTTTTTAGATTAATTTTGTTGTATTTATTTCAAGTTGAATTGTTTGTATCATATACTCTAAGATTATGAACCTTTTACAGAAGAATATCGTAATATTGATTTACAGATCACTTGCAGCAAAGTACAAACCTATTTTGAGATAAAATCTTAAATGCATTATGCTTCAAAGAAAAATTTTAAAATTAAATCAGTAAAATTAAAATTAACAAAAATAGTTTGACGATTTGACAATAAATATAAAAAACATACAGTAAAAAGGATAATAAATTGACAAAGGGAAATATGTGGAAACTGAAACCTCACCTGCTTTGTAACTATAACGAACGACTTTACACTGAAAGCACCAGAATCTGTGACCAGAACTGAATGAATCCAGAGCGACGTGAAGCATCTTTTATTTAGCGAAATTGGTGACGCTTTCAGTTTATCAGTTTCAAGTCGGAAGACTTTTTCCAAGGAACCAGGGGTCAAGAGTCATCACACTTATTTGAAACCGACTTATAACAATTGGCTCTTGGTACGGTTCCGTCAGAAATTTGGCAATTTAATCTAACTGGTAAAAGGTCAATTAATTGTTTTACGAAGCAATTTTAGGCCAGTTTGTTACACTTGGAGGCCTTTGAAAACGTTTCCCATTACCCTCTGGAACGTAGCTGGAGCGTTTCTTAGGCCAAACGGCATCCGGACATACTCGCAATGGCCATTTTCGACATTGGATGCAGTTTTGCATATATATTCGTTATCCATTTCAATTTGGTTAAAAGCACTTGCCAGATCCAAGGTCGTGAAGTACTGGCATCTACCAGTCTTACTGAAATGTTCATATCATATTGGAGTCAGGGGATTCAATTATTCAATAAATCAATTTTGATTGCTTCTTTTTCTATAGTTTCTTCGTTGTCAGTTATAAGGGAAATTGTGTGATTGAAGTTTTCTATTATTTTGGTGTCAAGACTCACCCGCTGATTCACTTGGGATACGATATCTTCTTGGCTATGTTGTAATGTTGCGATTGCGGCATCGTACTTTTGGGCGTCTTTGTGGTCCAGGTTTCCATATATGGTTTTAATAACACTGCCGAGACCATTGAAAATTCCTATTCTGTATATAATGGCATGAAGCGGCTTGCAACAGAAACTGTAAACTTTGATCGAAATTTTGCAGCCTTTTGAAGTATGGGTGACTCAGTGCATTTTCTATTGCTGTTCTTACTGATTCGTTTGTTCTTCCAGAGACTGAAGTACTTCAACTACTGGGAAGAGGTCAAAAAACTGAATGAAGTCGTGGGTATTAGTCTGAATCCTTAATCGTCCCAGCTTGAGGGAAAGTATTCCTTGGTAGTCCTCCAGGTTCTGGATCAGGAGATTCTGAGCGATGGCTGAAGAATATCTGTAAGGAATTTCTGGAAGATTTTTTAATATTCTTTTTATGAATTTTCGTGTCTTGAGTGTCAATGCTCACAATAGTGTCAGTGTTAACTGTCTTGGAAGAGAATCTTGGAAGTAGTTTGTTCCGCTTTACAATTTTCCTGGTGTAGATTTTCATGCTAGGTTTGTAGGTGAGGGAGGTTTGCCTGGTTATGTTTCTTTTTCCTATGTACTTTTTTTTGGATTCATGTAGCTCTTAATTCAATTTCCTGTAGATAGTCTTCGCTTTTTCTTTATGTTGCTGGGTATAATTATTAATAAGTGTTTTTCTGACATCAACGTCAAAAGGATCCTGCGCATCCAGGTGACCAGTCATATCCATTGGTCGCATGTTTGTAATTGAATGGATGGAATTATTGTATCCGAGAGGTGCATATGGCTTTTTTTTTAACGCTTAAGGATTTTTTATTTTCTTGAAGTCTCCTCAGGTGTTCTATAATAGTGGAGTGGAATCTTTCTATCATCCCGTTGGATTGTGGATTATCAGGGGTAGTATAATGGATAAATATCTTATGTTTATCTACAAATTCCTGTATAAGTCCATTCCACTATCGCTATGTGTGGTATTTGATGCTGAGTAATAAAAATTAGGGGGGCATCAAGAACATTCACTGAATTTGTTCCCTCTACGGGCTAGGCTTATCCATATTTTCAGAAGGAAGCAATAATTGTTAAAAACTTTTGCCCTCTGGCTTGAAATGTACCTAGATGACTAATTACCAAAGGTCTAGTCGGTGTTGGAGTTATCATGAATTTGGGTTTGACTGGATTCCTATCGTATTTGTTTGACTGCCAGGTGTCGCAAACATTTATGATATTTACAATATCTCGTTTGACGGTGATCTGAAAGTATCTTGAACTTTCTCCTAACCAAGTAAATTCTGAAGTACTTGGTGGCCCAGATTATGGCTAACATTTCCTTTTCAGTGGTGGAATATTTCAACTCGGTACCATTGAGTGTCCTGGACGCGTATGCAGTGGGCTTATCACTGCCGATTCAGTTCAAAAATTCTGGTGTCAGTTCTATTTTAGCGTCCCTTTTGAGGCAGGAAGTTAGAGGTTAAGTAATTTTTGCGAAGTCCTTGATAAACTTCCTGTAATATCCAAGGAGGCCTAGAAATCCTCGGATTTCCTTCGTGGTTCGCGGTATTGTATAGTCAAGTATGGCTTTAATTTTAGCCGGATTTGGTCTTATTCCTTCTGTTGTAACAATCTGTCCAAGAAAGGCAACTTCCTTTTTTGGGAACTCGCATTTGTCCATTTGAATTTTGAATCCAGGTTCTCTGAGACGTTGAGAAACAAACCTTGGAGTGATGTGCTGAACACAATGATATCGTCCATGTACCAATAGGCAATTTTTTCCTTGGAGGCTTTTTAAAACGTTATCCATCACCCTTTGGAACGTAGCTGGAGCGTTTTTTAGTCCAAATGGCATCCGGACATAATCGTAATAGCCATTTTCGACATTGAAAGCAGTTTTGTATATATCTTCCTTAGCCATTTCTATTTGGTGGAAACCACTTGCCAGATCCAAGGTCGTGAAGTTCTGGCATTTACCAAGTTTGTCCAAGATGTCTGTTATGTTCGGAATTGGGTATTTATAGTCTAGGCTCATAAGCAGGAAATCGATCTCTATAAAGTGCAAGAAGCATTTCATGTAACAATTTGGGAAACAATGTTTCAAGGCTACTTGGACCCCGCTGAATACGAATCTGCCTATTGCCGAAGCGAAATTTGGAGGGGAGTCTGGTATTCAATATGGCGGCCAAGATGGCCTCCAAACCTCTGTTGCCCTATATCTTTCTTGTCGGTTGGCTCGAAATATTGATTTAAACGCCGGCTTATTGGTTTTCTTAGATGCTTATCATATTGGAATGATTAGAAATTACTTACCTCAAGCCTGGAGTGCGTGGGTTCCAATATGGCGCCTACAATGGTCGCCGAAACTTTGTTGTGTTTACGTGTTCTTGTATTTGGAGTGCAATATCTGTCAGATATACAGTTTACGAATTATCACAAGAAAGTTTACCGGGCAACGAATTCCACAGATAAGTACAATACGATTTTATGTATGGAATATGTCTCGCTATTTGCAGTGTACCTCGTTATTGGTTTTTTTGGAGCCTGAGTATAATCATCTCTTCACAAAATGAATTTTCTATTCATCATGTAAGTGGATGAAATAAAACCAGAACTACAAATCTTTCAAAAAATAATTCATATTTCATTTAACCCTAGATAATGTGCTATTATGTTTATTATTGTTCCCTTACAGCCACACAATAAATCTCATCTGGGGCTTTTGCTCCAGCCACTTGACTGCATCGTACGATAATGAACGTAGAGTGGGAGTTTCCAAAGAAAATCGTTTGTTAGGCCGAAATACTATTACGTCATGTTAAAGCTTCAATGTTTTGTATTGTTATAGTTAATCATATAAGGTCTTTATCAAATCTCCTAAGCCCGTATTTACTTTTATAATGCAAAAATCCCACAAAAGTAGATTTTTTTTTGTTGGGGCTTTTTTGTACGTTTTCAATTTGAGCTGCTATGCTACCCTTTGGCCCGTATATGTAACCCTAAAAACCTCAGCGCCTGCAGAATATTATTTGAACGAGCCTCTTTGATATCGACACTTTTGCTTTCCAAATCCCAAGAGGCTTGGCAGGACAAATATACGTATTTACGCTTCTAGAATTTTTTCAAATTAAGTATTTTCTTTTATGAAAAAAGGAAAAA